GGCTGTGGGCATCCCGGTACGGGAACCTGCATCCCGGTACAGGAACCTGCATCCCAGTATGGGAACCTGCATCCCGGTACGGGAACCTGCATCCCGGTATGGGAACCTGCATCCCAGTACAGGAACCTTCATCCCAGTATGGGAACCTGCATTATGGTCCAGCTGTGGGCACCCCAGTACTGGTACCCACATCCCAAATATGGTAACTACATCCTGGCATGATACCTGCATCCCGGTGTGGTATCTACATCCCAGCACTGGTTCCCACATCCTGGCCCAGGACCTGCATTCCAGAACAGCTCTGTGCATCCTGGTGTGGATACCTGCATCCCACTCCCCATGTCCCAGTGCTGATACTCACATCCTGGAATGGGACCTGGATCCTGGTGTGATCCCTGCATCCCAGTACAGGAATGGAATATGAGATACTTGGAGTGGGAACTTGTATTCCATTTCCAGTGCTGCATCCCAGCACAGGTACAGGTATTCCAGTACCCACATCCCAGTGCATGGTTTTGCAGCTGCACCCTGCTAGAGGAATCCATATCCTGGTTCAGTACCTGCATCCCAGAATGGACACCAGCATCCCAGAACGCACACCAGCATCCCAGAACAGACACCAGCATCCCAGAACAGACACCAGCATCCCAGAATGGACACCAGCATCCCAGAACGGACACCAGCATCCCAGAACGGACACCTGCATCCCAGAACAGACACCTGCATCCCAGAATGGACACCAGCATCCCAGAACAGACACCTGCATCCCAGAACAGACACCAGCATCCCAGAATGGACACCAGCATCCCAGCACCAAGTACCTACTGAATCTGGCACAGGTGACTGCAAACATTCCCTCCATTCTGACCCTGCACCCACGGGCCAGCACAGTCTGGGTACATCCCCCATGGCACAGGGGCCACAGAGCCTCCATTGCTGTCCCCTGCCCCAGGCTCGTGGGACAGCCTGGCACTGGGTCCCTGGAACTGGTGCCTTTGTGTGACATGCCCAGTGTCACCCAGGCCAAGCTCCCCTGGATCCCCAAGCAGGGCAGGGATGTCCCCAGAACCCATCCCTGGTGCTGTCCTCACTTCCCAGAGCCACGGCTCAGCCCCACTGTGGCTGCCCAGGGAGCTCTGGGCTCCCCAGCCCTACCAGGCTCCTTCCCTGGGGACTGTGTGTGGCCATGGCTGGGCTCCCATGGCCCTGCCACTCGTGTCCCCTGCCCCAGGCCCGTGTCTGTCCCAGCACAGCGTCCATGTCCTGCACACCAGCGCTATTAATACACACCAGGGCACGTGGGCTCTCAGCTCCCGTGGGATCCAGCCTGGTTTGGAGTCACAAGGGAGCACCGCGTGTCCCGTCCGCCTTGGAAAATCACCTCCTCTGCCCGGCCTGGCAGCACCAGCTGTGTCCCCCAGCATCCCTGGCCCTGGCTGAGCACGTGGGAAGGGTCTCCTCTCCCCCCACAGCCCAGAGGGATCCCCTCACATGTGGGAGCAGTCTGACCCCGTCCAGTGTCAGTGCACAGGCTCTGGAAGATCCTTGGTGTGCACCCACATTCCCTGTGCCCAGCGCCCGTGGCTGAGGCTGCCGAGACAGAAATAGCGGAGGGAAAAGCTGCCAGGGGAAAACGGGAGCAGGGAGGGGAGGTGGCACAGCCCTGGGAGCTGCGGGTGCAGGGGGAAAGTGTCTGCAGGGGAGTGGGGAGCCCCAAACGGGGATTGGCACAGAGATCCACAGCTCCCAAGGCAGCCAGAATCTCCCACTTTCCATGGATTCCCATGCAGAGAACCATGGGATCCATCACCTCCTTCCCTGTCTCTATGCCCTGGCTGGCACTTGTTGCACAAGGATCTGTGTCCCCAATCACCCAGGAGTCCTGGCCAGCCCTAAGGCTCGTCCCAGCACACCAGACTTCTGCTCCTGCCCTCTCTCCCTGTAACCACCCCAAGCAGGGCAGCCCAGCTCCCACTGCAGCCCACAGAGCGCCCAGGGACGAGGGTCCTGCTCCTCAGCTGACACAGGACAAGGTGTGCAAGCGCAAGGTGTGTAAAAATTTATTTTGCTGTAGAGAACAAACCTAAAACCTTACAGCTCCAGCAGATGTGGAGCAGGGAGACACCAGGCACGGGCCTGGCTGGCAGAGCCACGCACGGTGGGCACAGACAGGGACGTGAAACACGAGGGACGTGGCCCTGGCAGTGCCAGGGACCGGGGCCAGCAGTGAGGGGGTGCCCGACTGGCAGAGCAGCTCCAGCACAGCAGGGGGACAGGGACATCACCCTGGGAGAGACACTGGTACTGCCCAGAGATTTCTGCACCCCCTGGCTGGCTCTGGCCATGATAAAACATTTAAATAGACAAAACACAGAAAAAGCAGCTCTGGGTGCTATGTAGGAGCTGCCCCCACAGCTGCCTGCAGACTGACCCCGAGCGTGCTGGGGAAGGCCAGGCTGGAGGCACAGCCAGGGGCTGAGCCAGGCTCCTCCTGGGGGACGGGAACCCAGGGATGGGCACTGCTGCTGCTCTTTGGGACTCACAGACAGGGACACTGTGGGGCTTTGGCCCCAGTGGGTGCTGAGCTCACTCCCAGCAGCTGAATCCAGCTCAGGGGTGGGCAGGGGACAGGAGACAGGACAGGAAGGAGCTTCCAGTGGTGCCAGGAGATGCAATGCCCAGAGCCTCGCCAGCCTCTGTGGGATAGGGCCCCACAGAGGGGACAGCAGGAGCCAGGGCACAGCGTGGCACCAGCTCAGTGATGGCACTGCCAGGGAATGACTGGACACACAGGGGGCATCAAACACCCTCCCAGTCCTTGCCAGGGCTCCCAGAACCCTGCAAATACTGCTGGCCATGAATACTGGTGGCCAGGAGTGGGGATGGGCCACGCAGGAGGCAGGAAAGGAGGGCAGAGGGACACTGAGCCTGACACGCTGCAGGACTCATAAGAACAGGAAGGAGCTCAGGACAAACCCTGGTTGTCACTGTCCCCCCTCAGCCCAGGACAGCAGCCACTGTGTCCCAGCAAGAGGGGCCAGGCCCGACTCCAAACACTGGGGCTGGGGAGTGTCAGTGCCTGGCCCTCCCTCCCCAGCTGCCTTTCCCAGCGCTGGCTGAGGGAAACCGGGACAGGAGATGGAGATGTGCCCCAGGGAGCTGCAGCCACGAGCTCATTTGACAGCTCAGCTGCTGCTGGAGCTCCCAGAGGCTCCGGGAGCCTTGCGCCCTCCAGAATTGAGGGCACCAGCACAGCCCTCTAGGGAGGGGATGTGCCCAGTCCAACAGACACCGAAACACTCGTGTTTGAGCTTAAAAACAAGCGTTAAAAAAATCGATCAGAATAAAAGATGAGGGTGATCCTCCAGCTGCTGGTGAGGCAGAGCCCTCCTGGCAGAGCTGCCTGGGGTCAGGAGGCCACAGGGTGAGGCTGGCCGGGGCCAGGGATGGATCCTGCTGGTGCTGGGAGGTCTGGCTTCACTGCTCCTGCAATCCAGGCTGGGGCAAAGGAGGATTTCCTACCAGGGGCCGGCTTGAGGCGGGGCCCCTCCCTGGGCGTCGCTGGGGACGGGGAGCTGGTGTCACGGGGGAGGGGGTGGAGAGTGGTTCTCATTTGTTCTTGGCCAGCAGGCGGTACAGGGTGAAGCCCACCAGCGCCGTCACCGCCGCCCCCAGCGCCACCCGCAGCCAGAAGGACGCGACTCCCAGCTCCACGGCGTTCAGGTGGCTGCAAGGAAACACAGGAGAGGCCGGTGAGTGTGGCTGCCCCGCTGCTCCTACCCCACACTGCGAGGCTGGGGAGTGCCGGGGGTGAGCCCAGCACCGGCAGGAACAGCCCAGTGAGAATCTGAGAGATTCCCCGTCCCCGCAAGCGGAGCACTCGTCACCCGGCATCACCGTCAAGCCAAGGGAGGGCTGTGGGACCGATGTGGCTGTCCCCTCCCCTGCTCTGGAAACAGCTCTCCAACACCTAAATAATTAGACAGGTATCTGCCTTTCTAGGTCAAGCTGCCTTTCCAACTGCCAGTGCACGGAGAGCCTGGATGCCACCATGGGGACACCGGTGACAGGGACCAAAGGGCAGCGAGGGACAGCGCCCAGTGCTGCCCCAGCGTACACATTCCCTTCCCAAACACGTGCTGTCCTGCACTGATGTGCTCCTCTCCTCTCTCTCCCTCCATCCATAATTCATTCCCCACTACATTGGGGGAACACAGCCAATCCCCGGCCCTCCATTACGCTGTTATTTATTTATACCACATACCCTAAGATATATTAAGAATATTTAAATTTTAATACTGCAGAAGAGGAGGGAAAAAAAAAAAAGCGTCAGCTCTAAAAATAAAGTTGTTTATTGAAAAGAAGCTGGAGGGAAAACTACTCACTAGTAATCCCATCCTGCCTTCCAACGCTCCCACACGTTCTCCCCGCCGGGGCTCGGCCCCTGGAGCTGCACTCACCCTTCCCAGCCCTGGAGTGATTCCACTCACAGGGATCCTCCTCCCTTCCCACAGCTC